ATTTCCCCCCTGCTTCTAAGCTGCCTTGCCATAGGCCAATGCAGCTTATTTATTAACCAATGGGAACAACATATATTCACAGTGTACAGAAAGACATCCCCAGTACTTCCCCTTTTCTGTCTAATCAAAAAGGAAGGTTTTAACATAGTAAAATTATATATAACAGTTATCAAGCAAAAATTACAGTTACAATATCTAGTCTATTTGTATTTGGCAAAATTAAAGAAAATATTTTATCATCTATCCTATACTTGTGAGTCTAAAGTTTCGTATCTAATTTATCTTTTTTTAAAAAAATATTTATTTATTATGTATACAGTATTCTGCCTGCATGTATGCCTGCAGGCCAGAAGAGGGCACCAGATCTCATTACAGATGGTTGTGAGCCACCATGTGGTTGCTGGGAATTGAACTCAGGACCTCTGGAAGAGGAGCCAATGCTCTTAACCTCTGAGCCATCTCTCTAGCCCCTAATTTATCTTTTATCATAACCAATGAAACACGTTGGGTGCCAGATGTTACACCAATTGCTAAACAGTCTTATTAATTAAAAAAAAAAAAAAAAAACAGAGCCAGATATTTGGGTGAACGCTGAAAGATAAGAAAAACAGAACAAGCCACAGCCAACCTCACCTCGCCAACTCCTCAGCTGATCCTGTTTCCTCAGACTGAAAGCCTCTGAGTCCTCACCAGGAAGAGATCTCAGCTGAAGTGCTTAAAAGCCTCTAGTTCCTGGTCCTCACACCTTATATACCTTTCCGCTTCCTGCCATCACTTCCTGGGAATAAAGGCGTGTGTGCTTCCCAAGCAAAGACATGAGATCTCAAGTGCTGGGATTAAAGGTGTGTGCCACCACGCCTGACTTCTATGTCTAATTTGGTGGCTGGCTCTGTTCTCTGATCCCCAGATAAGTTTTATTGGGGTGCACAAAATAAAGTATCACATGACTGGTGCTTTGAATGAGAAATCCCCATAATCTTGGCCATTTGAACACTTGGTCCCCAGTTGGTGGTGCTGTTTGGGGAGGCTTAGGAGCTGTGGCCTTGTTAGAGGAAGCGTGTCAGTGGAGGCAGGCTTTGAGAGTGTAAAGACTTGTGCCGTTTCTAGCTGCGTTTGTTGCCTCATGCTTTCAGTTCAAGATGGGATCCTCAGCTAGGCAGGGATCCCTCCAGCTGCCATGCCTACTGCTTGCTGCCATACTTCTCCATGACAGACACCTAACCCTCTGGAATTGTAAATACACATTCCTGTAAGTTGCATTGGTCATGGTGTTTTAGCACAACATTAGAAAAGTAACTAATAATGACCAGCTTAGCAAAAAACTTTGTTTATTGCACTATGTAGTCCTGGCTGACCTGGAACTCACTATGTAGACCAGGCTGGCCTTGAATTCAACAGAGCTTTGCCTGCTTCTACCTGCTGAGTGCTGGACTCAAGGGCCTGCACCACTGAGCCTGGCTGTAAAAAGCTTTATTCTCAAATGTCTCACCAATTGAGGGCTTACAACTTTCTGACCTATAGCTTTCTGAAGAGTTTCTTTATAGGATTTAGTAGATATGGAGTAACTATTTATTAATAGCTTGTTTTCTCTTCAAAGCTGTAAACTTTTCCAGGACAGAGTCTGTTTTGTTTGTTTGCACTTCAGTGTCTTGCATGTAGATACTCAAATATCATTCACAATATTTTACATATTTAAGATGTGTGTGTTCCCATAAAATTGAAAGACCCATATGCCAGCGTGGGTGTCTTCAAATGTGTTGGCTAGGTTCCAGAGTGAGCATCTCCAGGGAGGAAGGCGGAAGTGCATGCATTCTAGTTTGGGAATTCAGTATTGGTCAAGATAGTCACAGTATTTCTCACAAATTCAAGGTGAAGCAGTAAGGACCTCTCTCTTTCATGGAAAAATATGGTCACATCAGCAGGAGAACATATGACATGGAAACTCGTGATTATTTTACCTGGGTTGTGGGAACTCCAGTGTCTTGTCCTTCTGTGAGCTCTGGGAATCATTCAGCCTGAAGTTTCAGTGGGCTGTTTCCCTAATACAAGTGAGTGTAGCTTGAGCAGTAGATTGAAGGCATCTCTGTAGATGTCTGGAAGTCATCTCTGAACTGCAAATCCCATTTCAGCTCCCCCAAGTCTCAATCTCATGTTGACTTAGTTCATGAAAACAGCAGGACTCTCAACGTGGGTGCACACTGACCTGGAAAGTGCTCCCAAGCAGAAAGTGGGGGAGCCTGCCATACAGTGTTGCTGCTCTTTCCTGGCTTGTATTTTACTGCCGTGTTTTAGCATGCAAAGCAGCAGGTTTCCTTAAGGTGTGTTTTTGGTTCCATTTCCTGGTACTACCTTCATTCCTACATCTCTTTCCTGGTCCAAACCCTCTGCTCTCAGTGTTTTCACTATCACACACATTTTATTACCCTTACTGCTTCTCTCAAATCTTGTATTTTCTCCTCTCATAGGCCCTGGAATTTCTAGTTTCCTGGAATTTACACCCTCTCACTCCCCACATAGATATTTGTACAAATTAGAACTTGAGTCCGCATTCATGAGAGCATAGCAGTATTTATATTCTGAGGCTTTGTTAATTCACAATGTAAGTTTCCCAGTACCATCTATTTCCTTGAAAATTGCATAATTTCATTTTCTTTAAGGTTGAAGAATGCTGTTATGCATGTATACCACATTTTCATTACCTGTTCTCATCTGTTGGTGGACATCTGGTTTGCTTCCCTCTCCCTGGTGTTGGGAATAGAGCAGCAACAAACATGGATGAACAAGTATCTCTGCAGTAGGTTCTAACCTTGGGGCACATGCCCAGGAGTAGAAGAGGAGGGCCATATGCTCCAGTTAGTATTTTTTGGCATCTTTATTAAAAAATCTAGTGGCTGTAGCTGCATGGGTTAATGTTAGGTCTTTTATTCTGGTCTGATGATTTACATGTGTATATTTGTGCAAGTGCCATGCTGTTTAGTACTACAGCTCTGAAGCATTACTTGGAATCGGGTATGGATTCTTCTGCATTCTTTTTTGCTCAGGATTGCTGTAGCTATCCAAAGTCTTTAGTGCTTCCAAATGAATTTTAAGGTTGTTTTTTCTTATTTCTGTGAAGAATGATGTTGGTGTTTTGATGGCGGTGGCATGGGATCTGTAGATTGTTTTGGTAAGTTTCTGGTGGGTTACTTGTGGCTCACACTTGGAAGGGATAGTACCTTGTGGTGGTCTAATCTTGGTGGTAGCAGTTTGAAGCAGTTGGTCACTGCATCTGCAGTTAGTAGTGCAGAATGACTGCTGGTGGCCAGCCAGCTTTCTCCCTTTTCTGCATGGCGCTGCCTACTTTAAGAGCGTGTCTTCCTACATCAGTTAATTTAAGATGATCCTGTACAGACGTGTCGAGAAGCTAACCTAATCTAGGTAATTCCTTCTGGGTGCACCCAGAAGCTTGCCTCCTTGACAGTATTCATGACCAAGGTAAGATAACCACTTTCACAGTATCAGTTCTTCCAATTCATGAACATGGGAGATCTTTTCTGAGTGTTTTATTAAAGTTTCCATTATAATTATAGAGATCTTTCAGTTATTTGGTTAAGTTTATTCCAAGGTATTCTTTTGTTTTCTTTTTTTTTTTTTTTCCTCTTTCGAGACAGGGTTTCTCTGTGTAGCTTGTGGTGCATGTCCTGGATCTCATTCTGCAGACCAGGCTGGCCTTGAACTCACAGAGATCTGCTTACCTCTGCCTCCTGAGTACTGGAATTAAAGGTGAGCGCCACTGCTGCCTGGCGGTATTCTTTTTTGAGGTAACTTTGAATGTGATTTCTTCCTTGGCATGTTTTTTATTGGTATACAGGAAGGCTACAAATGTATTTATGCTATTGTATCTTGTGTTAGAGCCTGCCGGAGTCAGCTGGGTAGAGGCGTGCAGATTGTAGAGACAATGAAGACGACAGAACAGAGTCGAGAGGATTGCCAATCAATGCCAGACAGTGCCGAGTTTATTTCACAGTCACCTTATATAGTTTTGAAGGACAGAGGTAGAACAATGCACAGCACAGGCATTCAACCACTATCTATCCTGCCTTGCATCAGGAACAGGCAATTCCATTTTCTATCTTGATGTACCTCCGGCTGGCATCAGCAGCCTGCGTCTAGCTAGGGAGTATGTTCCTTCCTGTGGGCTAATCAGGATTTTCTCACAGCCCTTTAAGGAGACTCTGTAGGCTTATCAGGACTTTCTCACAGCCTTGGAGCAAGCAAGCTTGAACTCTATTAACTCAGAATAGACTTCAAACTGGGAAACTGAGTCAGTTGTGGGCTCCCATAATCTTTCTACCTTGCTGAACGTGTTTCTCAGTTCTTAGGGTTTTCTGGTAGTGTGTGGGGACTCTATGTATGTAATCCTCATTTACAAACGGGGATGCTTTGATGTTTCCTGTTTGTATCCCTTCCATTTGCTTCTCTTAGTCTCAGCTAACACTGCTAGCACTGGTTCAGAGTAGAGAAAGCAGACTCCTCCTGATTTAGAGACTGCTTCGAGTTTTTCCTTATGTAACACAATGCTGGCTATAGGTTTGCCATATGTTGCCTTTATGTTTGTTTATGTTTCTTCAGGACTTTGACCTTAAAGGGATGTTAGATTGATTTGAACCCAACCCATGTGGTTCTATGGCCATGCTCTGAACCATTAAGTGAATATTTGAAAACTATTCAAAATGCCAGTGCAGAATTAATTATTTCTAAATATAAAGGAGAGTGCCTCATCTTTGGATACTTTGATAAAGACTCTTTGGTCAGCCTTACTGGTAACTGTTGGAAATCGAAAAGACTGGGCTAGTTGGAGTATGTGATTCCTGAAGGAAGGATCAGGAAGTAGTGGGAGGTGATGTCCAGTACAAACTACCTAGAGAATAGGGTGTGAGTTGGGCCCAAGGGTGGAACTAATATGCTTCTAAGAGTCACTGGTGTTAATAGTAATAGGTTCAATTATTTTTCTCCCTCAGACACATTTAATCAAACCAGGCACCAAAATGCTGACATTGCTTCCTGGAGAGAGAATACCTAATATTTCTTTTACTCAAAGAAGAGGCACTCGGCAGATGAGTATTTCGTCCTTTGTCACTTTGCAACCAGGTATGGTGACCAGCCTGGGAATATTTCATTATCCGAGGAGAACAAGTGTTGAAACATTTATGAACGGTAGATGTTGCTTTGGAAAAGAAGTATATTATTATACATGTGCTTTGCTGGTTCTGTTCTGCTCCATGTAATTTTAAATATTTGTATTCACCAATAGAGCAGTGAGGAAGGCCATACCTGAGAGCTCAGAGCAGGATGGAGCATGCAGAGCCAGGTGCAGGGGTGGACACTGGGGGAGTGGGCCCACTCTTGGTGTGTCACTCAGGACTGCCCTGTATAAACTTAATGTGCACTATTCCTCCTCCTCCAAATAATAACTTACTTTCATTTTACATAACAAGGAAAGCTCCCCCTACACCTCCTCAAAAAAACCTCAGCTTTCCCCAGTTACAAAATCTTGTGTATTTTATATACTCTGTTGAATTCCGAGAAAAATTGAGGGTTCTTACAGAACAGGTTCTGCAGTGTAACTTATTAGAGAAGGAAAAAAAATAAGTCTAACATTCTTTTTAAAATTGTATCTTGATGTAATTTGGGTGGATTGGAAATCGGTTTCATTCATCCTTAAGGGAGAACAGGGTCCATCCCACACTTAATGAAATGGACTAGCTAGACACTAATTTGTTTTCAGATTTTAACTGGTTGATTTAGCATCCTAAAATCTTCATTGGCGTTCCCATGAAAAACTACATTTATTTTTATTATCAGAAAATTTTAAGTTTGATAGTTAATGATTTTTTATAACCTTACAAAAATGTCTGCTGAGAATATTTCCTTAAGGATAATATTTGGGTATGTGGTTAGCTAGGGGCAGGATCATTGTTCAGTTGAAACTACAGTAAATAAATTAAAAAAAAAAAAAAAGCAAAACTGTTTTGCTCTGTGTTAAAAACCATGTAACAAAAACTGAGTTGGAGAAGTTGGCTATGGTCTGACTGTAAACCAAACTTGACATATTAGGCAGAGATGGGTCACTGGAAGCATCCACGTTTCAGTAGGGGAATATATGACTGAAGTTTTAGAGCATTCAGCAGAGAACAGCAAGATTGAAAACAGGACTATTAGCCATGAAGTTATTTAAAGAGTCTAGGACTCTTCTGTACCTGGGAATAATAGTAGCTGATACTGGTTTCAGAAAACCCAATAAAATCTGGCTCAGGGCAGTTTTTTAGTGTAATTATCTCTTGTTTCATTAGGAATGGCAAATGATAGTAACCGGAAGAGCATTTTCTCTCTCAAAGAAAATCAGATCAACCAAGAGTGCAAGAGAACCCAGCCAGACTGTTTGGTCCAGGGATTGGAGGATGATGGCTTGGTTTCACCTTTGGCCACTTCAACTCCTGCAGACATCCAGGAAGCTGGACACTCTCCTCCATCTTCCCAGATTTCTAGCCACCACAGTTTAGAAACACCGTCTTTGACTATGATGTCTTTGCCCCAACCTGACATCCTGATGGGTGCTGGATCAAATAAAGCCTCCCTGGCTTCCTCCTCTACCCAGTATGTGGAAAGTTCTCGTTTGCTGGACCAAAGAGAGGCCAGGAGGAAAAGGGAATGGATTCATGGATCTAAGACAAACTGTCCAGGCATGGGAAGCCACATCAGACCATCTAGGGGTAAATGCTGTCAGCCCTTGGACAAAGCTGAACTGGGAGAAAAGGGGTCTGCCAAGGAAAACAGGCAGGCCCCCGTGCCTCTTCAAACCTGGAGTAGGAAAAAACCACTATCAGTGACAAAAAGCCCTTGTCTTTCTGTATTTTCCTGGGACAGTGAAAGGAATGACAGGGACTCCTGGAGTCAGCTTTTCACTGAGGATTCCCAAGGCCAGCAGGTCATCGCTCACAACACTAAAATGCCCTTTCAAGATGTAACCAATGTTAGGAATCAAGGCTCAGAGCAGTTTCCTGATAGCCCTCAGGCTCAGTGCCAAGATGGGCCTCCTGGGTTACACCTGCAGCCAAACCTGCTCTTTACCCAGGACTCTGAAGGTAATCAGGTTATCAGACACTAGTTCTAAATGTTTGTGTGGGTGTATCTTGAAGTGGCAGAGATGGAGGGAAGTAGGGTGGGGCTGGGTAAAGAGGATGGTTTAGGTGAGAGGCCATGTGGGATGAAGCGATTGTCATTATGGAACATTGTTCTCATGTAAATAAAGCAAGCAATGTGTGGTAGGCATGTTTTTCCCTCAGTAAGATGACTGACTGGTGCATTCCATGAATGAATGTGATGAGGACTGAGACAGCAGGACAGCACTAACCACTCAACCCATTTCTCAGTTCACAGAGTTCTTCTCAATTCTCTGTCCTTCAGAGGCCTGGCAGTTTTTGCTCCTTACAGATAAGTGCTCTTTTCACCTCTGGCTGGACCACTCATAAGCTTGGGACCATTATTCCCAAGTGCATTTTAAGAGACACCTATTTCCTCAACCCAGGTGTGTGTGGCTGGTGGTGGGGGGCGTCAAATGGCAGATGATAATTTTTTTTTCTTTTTTAAAGATTTATTTATTATGTATACAGTGTTCAATCTGCACATATGCTTTTAGGCCAGAAGAGAGCACCAGATCTCATTACAGCTGGTTGTGAGCTACCGGGTGGTTGCTGAGAATTGAACTCAGGACCTCTGGAAGAGCAGCCAGTGCTCTTAACCGCTGAGCCATCTCTCCAGCCCACATTTTTTTCTTTTTTAATGGATAACTATATACACTGTTTACCTGGGACTGGATAGATGGCTCAGCTGTTAAGAGCATTTGCTACTCTTAGACCCACATTTAGTTCCCAGCACCCACATGACCTCTGTAGGCACTGGGCACACATGTGCACGCAGACATGCAGGCAGAATACTCATACACATAAAATGAAATCAATTTTTAAAAAGTTGTTTATCTTCCCCTTCCCAAATCTGAGCTATGTAATAACCTAACTTTTTTATTACTCTTCCACGAGAAAGAGGGAAGTTCCACTGGAAAGCTATGAATCCTGGTTAATGTCTGGAAAGCTGGCTCTAGTGGTAATTCAGAAAGCCACCTTTTAGCTGGATATGACAACTTAGGAGACAGGATCCTCATCTGTTCAAGGTCAACTCAAAGCTCCATAGTGAGTACTGGGCCGGCCTGAGCTACAATGACATCTGCTCAAAGAGAAAAGGCAACACTGCCGTGCGAGGGCACGTACCACACCAGAGGACAGCTTCCAGGAATGACTCCTCCTTTATGCGTGTTCCAAACCCAGGTCGTCAGACTTGAGTGGCAAGCACTTTCCCTTTCTGAGACATTTTGCCAGCCCAAGTCAACTTTTCTTTTTCAAGACAGGGTTTCTCTGTGTCACCTGGAACTCACTCTGTAGACCAGGCTGGCCTCGAACTCACAAGATCCACTTGCTTCTGCCTCCCGAGTGCTGGGATTAAAGGTGTGCAGCAGCAGCAGCACCACCACCACCTGGCCCCAATTCAACTTTGTGTGAGTGGTGTCACTGTCCTGAATTCAGCCAATCACAAATCTGATTTTGCCTGTGTTTCTCCCAAAGCACCACTGTTCATGCAGCAGTTTCATCGCAGGTGTGACATCTAAGGCTTAAATAGCCTCCAGGATGCAAACCACAGTAAGTTACCAGATGTAATTGTTTTTAGTTTTGGGAAATTTTCTATGGAAAGGAGGATGAAACCCCTTAGAATAAGATGTTTGGGTGTTTTGTCTGAATGTATGTCTGTGTACCTCATGTGTGCGCCTGGTACCTATGAGGGCAGAAGAGTGTGTCAGATCCCTGGGACCGGAGGAACTAATAATTGTGAACAGCCACGTGGGTGCTGGGAATCAAACCTGGTTCTCTGGAAGAGCAGCCAATAATCTTGACTTTTGGGTCATTTCTTTAGCCCTAGGAAGTTTTCTCCTAAATCAGTGGTTCTCAACATGTAGGTCATGACCCCTTTGGGACAGCATATCAGATATTTACATTACGATTCATAACAGTTAACAAACTTACAGTATGGAGTAGCGATGAAGATAATTTTATGGCTGGGGGTCACCACAACATGAAGAACTGTACTAAAGGAACACAGTGTTAGGAAGGTTGAGAACCACTGCCTTAAGGGCAAGAAAGTAAGTCAAGAGCCTGTTTAAGAAAGCTCACATACCTTACAATTAACAGGAGCCCTCCCCAAAGGCCACTGTGGTCAAAACTCGGACAAAGAAAATGCACCATTTTTCCAAATCCTTCATTTAATGTCAGGTAGTAGTACTTCAACTCAAGACACGCAGTATTCATACCATAGAGAAAAGGGCCCTGAGGGCACCTGAGTCATGCATGATGCAGTAAATAAAATCTGGCCCAACCCAGAGAAATCAGTTATTGTCCTAGAAGGATGGTATGCTCTTTTCTCTCCCTGTTTCTCCTTCCTAGACTTAAGTCCATGGAAGAAAAAAATGTCAATCAGTGGAACTGATGAGGCCCTGGAGGGTAGATCTGGTTGTAGTTTTATAAAATATGTTTAAGAAAAAAATAGCCCAGGCCTCCCTGCTGCAGCCAAGTATTGGCTGGCCCAGTGGCCTGACTGGTATAGCTAGAAGAAAAAGGTGATTGCTGGGCACTGGTGTGGGTTTATGATGGAGCAGCATAAGATCGTCCCTGTGAACATGAACATGAAGAGCCACTCCCCACTAGCCTTGTGGTGCTGCAGGGAGGCTGCTGAGAGTGACAGCTGTGCACAAAGTGTCCAGTGAGACCAATTATGGAGTCTAATGCAGTGAACTGAGGCATTCAGTTAGGGCCTATTTGCACACAGACTAAGAAAAACAACAAACTTCACCTCTTAAACAGACACTCCATCCTACCAGATTACCTGTAACAAATGCCTCATCTCACACCACAGACCTTAGCTTCTGTCAGGTTTAAGTGCAAGTAACACATAATCCAGCTCCTCTCTTCCAGCCCAAGCCCTAGCTCGTTGGCAAGACTGTTGCAGACTTCTAACTGAGGCAGAGACATCTGCAGCGAGGAAGGCAGCTATTGAAGGAGTTCAGGAGCATGAGACTGAGTCTGCAGTCAGTACTGTCAGTTTCCTTTCCTACTGATGTCTTCTTCCTTCAGAGCAAACTTCCTTCTAAGGACTTCAGAGATAAGCACAGCAGGGTCTTCTTCCTTCAGTAAGCTCCGGCTCCTGCAGACACAACAAGAGTTCGTATTTAGGGAGTACTTGCTCTGTTTTGGGTCATGCTCTGTATGCACTTTTCACCTCCTGAATCTTCACAGCTAGTCTGTGAAGCAGTTGCCAGTGCATGTTCCTACACCCGTGGGAAGATTCAGCACCAAGACATGGAGTCACTGTCAACCTCTGGCTTTTAAAACCAAGCTAAGTTGTTTCTGGACCCCATCTCTTAACTAGACTGCCCTTTTATTTATTCATTTTTTTAAAGTACTTTATGTACGAGTGCTCTGGCTGCATGTACGTATGCCTGCACTCTAGAAAAGGGCATCAGACCCCATTATAGATGGTTGTGAACTGCCATGTGGGTGCTGGGGATTGAACTCAGGACCTCTGGAAGAGCAGCCAGTGCTGGAGCCATCTCTCCAGCCCCAAATGCCTGTTTGTTACATGGCTACAAAATATGGGTAAAATGAAGGCCCATCAATTTGTTGGCGTTCTGATCTAATCTCAAGAGGGTCTTGCAGTAAGTGGTTGATGGCTCAGCCCTTCTGATCCCTACTAGTTCTGGTGCCAAGACATCCTACCAGCACCTTCCCTTAAGTGAGCTGAGATTTTTTCTTAATAAGAGATAAAAATCATAGCAAAACATTTACATTATAAGGAACTGTGGGAACAAAATGAACTCTAGGGTAGGCACACATTTATCACAGAAGAGAGGGTCCTGAATGCTCTGAAAACAGTTGTCTGAAGCTGTTAACTTCTACACATTTCATGAAGGTGTCTTACTGATCTTTGAGGCAATACACAAAGACCAAGATTGACTTTAAATCTAAAAGTAAAAGGAAGATTCTTTGGCCTATCACATTTCTGAACTTTAGCTGACCTGGCTACTTCTAATTAGAGAAAAAGATGCCAGGATACACGTGGAAGAGGTTTGGCAAAAATTTTGAATGTAATTTGGTCTAAGAAGCCAAGTAACAGAAGCTGACCTGGTAATAAACATCTATACTTCCAGCATTCAGGGGACAGAGGCAGAGGGATTGCAAGTTCAAGACCAGCTTGAGCTACAGAGAGATAGACAAGCGGCATGTTTCAGATCACTAACTAGAAGAAGGGCTCAAAGCTGACCAAAACCAGGTGAGGCAGCAGCTGTGTTTGGGGAAGTGAGAGATCAAAGAGCCTTTATGGGCTAGACAGGAAGACCAGAGTGACTAGGATAGTTTCTTGCCCAGTACTAACAAGTACAGCTATACTGGGTACTTGCCATCAAGGTCGATCTCCAACTAAGGTGCCCAAGAACAAGATCCTTGGTAGAGTATCAAAGCACATTTGGAGAAACTGCAAAGGGCAGGCTCCCTCAGGCAGTTCTAGAGCTTGTCTACCAAGGAAGCTTTTCAGGGGCCTGAGAGTGGCCTTGCTTCCAACTCCAGGCCTGCCCCGATTACCCAGACTTGAGCAAAGTCAACCACAGCTCCATTCTCTGGGTATTCTGCTTTGGTAAATTTACTATGTACAAATCTGGGCTGGGTGTAATGGTCCATGCCTTTGATCCCAACAGAAGCAGGCAGAGCTCTCCAAAGTGAGTCCCAGACCAGCCAGGGCTTCACAGTAAGACCTTATCTTTAAAAGCCAACCAACACCCCAAAGCTGAGCAGTTTTGATGGGCAGTCAGATTTAGGAACTAATTATTAATCTTATAAGCTTGATTGGTTCTCAAGCTGGGTGTGGTGATGCATACCTTTAGTCCTAGCACTCTAGAGAGGCAGGTGGATCTCTGAGTTCAAGGCTAGCCAGGTCTACAGATCGAGTTCCAGGACAAGCCAGGGTCACACAGAGAAACCCTGTCTCAAAAAAACCCAGAACCAAACACTTGGTTCTCAAGTCCCACAACTTGGAGGTTTGCCTTACAGAGTATCGTGTGAATGAGGACAAGTGCCTGCAGAAACCAGGGATGTAAGGTCCCCTGGAGCTGGATTACAGAAGCTGGTGCTATGGGTACTGGGTCCTCTGCAAGAGCAGTATGTGCTCTTAATCACCAAGCCATCTTTCCAGTGCCAAACTATTTAAAAATAAAATCTCTAACTTTATGCAATTCTTCCACCAAAAAGTCTACTAGTTTGAGACACTAGCATGTCATATAATCCCCCAACTTTGAAGGGTAGAGATGTTGAAACATGGTAGTTAGCAGTATGCAAACTAAAAAGCTACCGAGGTTTTTTGTTTGTTTTTAATGTGCACTGATGTTTGGCCTGCATACGTCTGTGAGGGTGTCAAGTCCCCTGGAACTGGAAATTGAACCTGGGTCTTTTGGAAGAGCAGCTAGTGCTCTTAACCACTGAGCCCCCCTGTATGTGCTCCTAACTGCTGAGTCTTTAACAGCTGGTTGAGGTGACTTAACAGAACAAATGGAAACTTGCTTTTCCACAAACTAGGCCCTAGTCAGTCAGCAAGCTTTGTGAATATAGTAACACGATTACCTTGTTAGCCATGAGTGACTAAAAGATTACCAGAGCTCCTATCAGATACTCACAGGTCTTGGCTCTGTTTTATCCGGTGAAAATCCTTCAGGATGCCCATCATGTCTGCAAAGCTGCTGGCCTTGGACAGAGAGATGCAGTCATCCTCTTCAGACGAGCTGCAGGTAGCTTTGTGTTCTGGTTTGCAACATTCAGGGCTGGCAGAACAAAGCAGGGGTATTGTTGGAAGCTCAGGGACCTCTACCTCAGTCTCCTCAGTGATGTCACTAATGACAAAGGAAGTTGTAGAGTGGAATGAGGATCCAAAGCAAGGTAAAGGAGAAGAGACATTTGAACTTCCTGGAGATAAGAAATCTGGCGTTAATGAAGACGAAGCTGAAAGAGAAAACAACAGATATAATGGACATTGGGCTGCAATGAAGCAGTGAGCTCACAAACACTGCCTACAGAACACAATCATTCCCTGAATTCACATCATGACAATCCTAGAGTACCAAGGGTGGGACCTCCCCAAGGGAGCCTTCCCCACTCTGCTCCCATTGAGGGCTCCACGTGGGCAGTGAAGCACAGGCTCTTGTAGTGTCCAAGAGAGGAAACCCCTTCCCACATAGTCATGACTTCTAAATGCTCCCAATGCAGTGAGCTTTAGGTTGGCAGCCCTGTTTTAAACTGAAGCTAAGCAAGGCCTGCATTTCCTATATTGGTCATTTTCTCAACTGTGTCAGTGTTCTGACTTTTTTGAATTTTGCTATCTATAAGCTCAAAATGTTCTAGACAAAACTTCCCAATTTTAATTGAGACAACTGTCTTCAGAGTTCCTAAGAAATGACACTGATTTTTCATATTCTATGGCTTAATTTTTTCAAAAAATTATTGCATTTATTTATTGTGTGTGGGTACAGGTTTACCACAGAGTAGGTCAGAGGACAACTTTCAGGAGTCTGTTCTTTGCTCCACCATGTGGGCCCTAGGGATGGAACTCAGGTAGTTAGGCTTGGTGGTAAGTGCCTTTACCTGCTGAGCCATCTTACTGCCCCCCACACTACAACTTTCACGTGCTCTACTAGCTGTTAAGGTTTAGGAACTATGTCTTTGAGCCACTGAGCATCTTCTGGAAGATCTACCTATTGGTTGTTTATGCCTCTGGTTAAGGCAGGCTCCTCTCTATTTCCAGTGGCTCTGCCTTAATTGTATGCAGAAAGCTACAGAGAAAAGTACTCCCTGGTCGAAAGGACAAGGAAAGGGAGCTAGGTAATTAAGGAGATATGTCTCATGGTGCTGGTGAGGAATGTTTATATTGAAAAGTGGCTCCAGGGTGGTGATGGTGCATGCCTTTAATCCCAGCATTTGGGAGGCAGAGGCAGGCAGATCTCAGTGAGTTCGAGGCCAGTCTGGTCTACAAAGCAAGTTCCAGGACAGCTAGGACTATTACACAAAGAAACTCTGTCT